AAAATAGAATTATGTTTCATTCTGCTCCTTCTTAGGAGGGAGGGAGGGAGGGAGGGAGGGAGGGAGGGAGGGAGGGAGGGAGGAAGGAAGGAAGGAAGGAAGGTAGGTAGGCTGGTTTGGGGCGCAAAACTTTGCTTTCCCCAAAATAACTTACACATTCAACTTACATGTTTTCTTTCATCACCTCTTCACTGATATCTAGCCCAACAAGTTCTTCAATACAATTGCAGAATTTCAGCATCCAGAGTAGGCTACAATCAGCACATCCCAAATCTGCCACCTGTTAATTTGAAATTAATACAATTCCTAATATCACTCATAAGACTTGTTTAACAGTTTTCTTATCTAATAAAAATGACTGCTGATTTAATGCTAGGTTTGATTAGAGTTAATTATATGGTAACAAAGGACTGTGATCTATAGCATTGGAAAAAAAATTGCTGTAACATTTTTAAGGGGACAATATCCTTATTACTACTTACATTTATACAGCAAAGGTATGCAAAAATCACCATGTATATATTAGCAAAACTCATCAATAAAATATTGCACATGTATATGACTCCTAAAAATGAATCTTGTTTTACCTAAAACCAGATCAAACATCTCTAATTTGATGTTCACACATCCCATTAAGCAATTATTATTTTAGCCCAATTAAACAAGTGAGCCATACTATGCCATGAACCATGTAATGTGGTTTGTTTTTACTATAGCAGGCTATGCAACTGCAGCTTCTATGACTTCTAAAACCACAATTTATGGCTTTGCAGGTTATGAATGGACTCAACTGTGGCTTTTCAATAAACTATAATCAGGCCAAGAACAGCTTACTTGTGACTACATATTATATAATTTAACTACTATCCTTTGTTTTTCTTATCTGAGTAAGGGTCTACTGTTTTATTGAAATGCTTTTTCATAACATCTGGTTGAATAATAACCATATTTAAAATGTACACCTCTCAGTGCTGTGATTCCCAAACTGTGTATTGCAGTGCCTTGGAGAACCATAGCAGGATATTTTACTAAACAGAACTGTCTGTTCTGGAGTATTTGCAGTGCAGAGTTTGGGAACTGCTAGGGATTTCATGAAATAAGAAAATTTGGGAATCTTTACCTTAGCATAAAAAATACTAAATACTAAAACAAATGCTACAATTTATACTCTTCGTGACAAATATATAAATCTTCCCTATAATAGTTTAGACTCTCCCTTCTTCTTCTTCTTCTTCTTCTTCTTCTTCTTCTTCTTCTTCTTCTTCTTCTTCTTCTTCTTCTTCTTCTTCTTCTTCCTCTTCCTCTTCCTCTTCCTCTTCCTCTTCCTCTTCTTCTTCTTCTTCTTCTTCTTCTTCTTCTTCTTCTTCTTCTTCTTCTTCTTCTTCTTCTTCTTCTTGTGCCATATCCATTATCGGACATTGGCGATCATGTTGGCGATCCTGTTTTTTCAGCAGCCGCATGAAAAAGTGCTGCTGAGTTTTGTCCAAATCAGTCCCTTAGATTTTTAAGCCACGATGTTCTTCTTCTGCCTGGACCTCGTTTGCCTTCAATCTTTCCCTGGAGGATTAAATGGAGTAAGCCGTTTTTTTCTGGGTGTCGCATCACATGCCCAAAATATTCTAACTTTCATTTTTTAATTGTTGTGATGATTTCCCTTGGCTTTCCAGGCAGCTTATCACCTCATTTCTGATCTTGTCAACCCAGCTTATACATAATAGCCGCCTGTAAATCCACATTTCAAATGCTTCTAGTCTCTTCAGGTGGCCTTCTGTCAGAGACCAACTCTCTATTCCATAGAGCAGGATAGAAAAAAATACAACATCTGACAAGCCTGATTTTCAAACTTAGGCTTATGTTGTGACTGCAGAAGACTTTTTTCATTTTGAAGGATGCTGTTCAAGCTTTCTCTATCCTTGTCTTTACTTCAGTGGTCACATCCCAGCTTTCATGTAAATTAGAACCGAGGTGCATGATCCTTTCAACTTTTTCTAATGGTATTCCTTCCGAATTTATTGGTAGCAAATTATTGGGTTATTTGCTGATGACCATGATCTTGGTTTTTGAGGTATTAAGCTTCAAGCCGTATTTTTCAAATATTTCTGTAACTCTGTTGATGAGGAGCTGAAGGTCTTCATGCTTACTGGCAAGCATAACTGTATTGTCAGCATATCTTAAATTGTTGATCCAAACACTGTTTACTTTGATGCCAGCATCGATGTTCTCCAATGCCTCATTGAAGATTGACTCAGAATAGATATTGAACAACACTGGAGACAGAATACATCCCTGTTTCTCCCCTCTTCATATTTCTGCATCAGCTGAATATTTTTGGCCTAGTCTCACATTTGCTACCTAATGCCAATATAGATTATGATTTGGATATCTTTGTCATCTAGTCCCCCTTGTTTCAGGATTTCTAATAGTTTGCTGTGTCTTATTTCATCAAATGCTTTTTCAAAATCAATGCAGCACATGTGAACACTGTGACTGACATCTCTACAACGTTGTACAAGAACTTGAATGCTGAATAGCGCATCTCGTGTACCAAGATTGTTTCTGAAACCAAATTGTGTGTTACCTAGACACTCCTCAATTTTGTTGTATATTCTTGTGTGAATTATTCTCAGGAATATTTTCAGGGCATGACTCACTCAGCTTATTGTTTTGTATTCGGTACACTTCTTTGCATTTATTTTTGGGGGGATTGTCACAAAGGTTGATTTTAGCCAATCATTTGATATCTTTCCTGTTTCATATATTCAATTGAAGAGCTACAATAAAAAATTCTTCCCATTGTCTTCCAGCAATTTTAAATTTTCTACTGGGATATCATCAGGTCCTATGGCTTTTCTTATTTTTGCTATTTTTATTGTATGTTCAACCTCCTCCATAATGATGTTTGGTCCAGTTGTTATACTTCCCGTATCTATATCATCCCTAGCGTCCTCAAAAAATTCTTCAATATATTCCTTCCATCTTTTTAGTTTTTTGTCCTCATCTAAGAGAATTTTCCCCATTGTCAACTAAATTTTCTTTTTGTAGAGACCTGCTGCTTCTTTCACTTTTTTGTGTAAATTGAAATTATCATGCATACGTTCTGTCACTTCTATTTCCTTGCATCTCTTTGCAAACCACATTTCTTTTGCCAGTCGAATTTTTCTTCTAATTGTTTTTTGCAATTCATTGTATTTTTCTTTGTTTTTATTTTTATAAGATCTTCTTTCATCCATGAAGAATTTCCTCCGTCATCCACTGTTGTTTCTTGTGGTATCCCTCTCTCTGTTTTGAATTTGTTACCTCTACTATTGCAGTTTTAAATTTATTTCAGTTCACTTCTACATCTTCATCATTTAGGTTATTGGTTTCTCTTAAATGATTTTCTAGTTCTTCTTTTAACTTACCTCCATGTTTAATGATGAAGTCTCTGTCAATTCTTGGTTTAGCAGGATTTGGGCTTTTCATCCTTTTTAGTTTCAGCTGGACTTTGGCAAGTAGTAGATTATGATCGGATGATACATCTGCACCTGGGTATGTCTTTACTGATGTTACTGAGTTTCTAAATCTTTTGTTTATTGTAAAATAGTCAATTTGGTTCCTTATTATATTATTTTGTGTATCTGCTGGTGATCTCCAAATGTTGAGGCGTCTTTTTGGCAACTTGAAAAAACTATTCATCACACATTGCCTATGTTCCTTGCAGAAATCTACAAATCTGTCACCTCTACCATTTCTGGTTCCTAAGCCAAAGTTTCCAACTACAGGAGCATCACTTCCTTCTCCCACTTGTGCATTGAAGTCCCCCATGAATATTGTGATATCATTACTTTTTAGGGTTTTCAGTACACTGCTTATATCTTCATAGAACATCTCTAAATCCTCCTCATCACTGTCAGCTGTGGGAGCATAAACTTGTATAACATTCATATTTACTGGAGTACTATTTATTTGGATCATCATCACTCTATCGGATACAGGAATAAAGGACTTGATGCATTTATTTATAAGATTGTTTACAATTATAGCTACTCCATTTTGATGGTGTTTACTATCCTCACCAGAGTAGCAGATAATATAATTTCCTATTCTACACTTTCCATCTTCAGGCCAGTGCATTTCACTCACTCCCAATATAGAGATATTGTATTTGGACATTTCTTGGATAGTGTTGTGTGTTTTCCCAGCTTTATATAGGCTTCTCAGATTCCACGTACCAATTCGTAGTTTTGAGTTTATCATGCTTCTAGCGGACCAGGAGAGTCTTAGCACCCCTGCCCCATTTAAGGGGCACCCGTACTCGGGGCCATTATTAGGTTTTGCCACCATTAACATGATTTTCCGGGGAAATATATAGTGTAGTAGTCTTCCCTTTGCTTTCTACACCGCTGTGACACGCTGTTCAAGTGGCTGCCACCACACCATGTGCTGTTCTTCTGAAGCCGTTCCAACCAATATGGTCTCCGCCTTCAGTCGATACTGGGGAGCCAGCTGCCACTCACAAGGCAGAGTCTCCCTACAGTATTACAATTCCTAATTCATTTTTTCAAACTCTGTTTTATCCCAGCAAAGTAATAACTTTAAGGATAAGAGTTCTAATGCAGTCAGCTATACTGAAAAAAATTGTACTAGGAAACACATACTAACCTTTTTAGGTTTATGCTTATCCACCAACTGCTTAATAAAAGCATAACGTTGCTTATACAATGGTGGTGTAAATGTAATAATCCTCACAAGGTCATCTTTTTTCATTGTTACATCCATATTCAAAACTAAGAACAAAAAAGAGCATTATTTAAATGCTATACAGGTAGTTCTTGACTTATAACAATTCAAAGTTAGCAGCACTGAAAAAGTGATTTATGATTTTTTTTCACACTTCTGACCATTGCAGCATTCCCATGGTCATGTGATCAAAATTCAGATGCTTGGCAATTGACTCATATTTATGACAGTTGCAGCAATCCATGGTCATGTGATCACCTTTTTGACCTTCTGACAAGCAAAGTCAATGGGGAATCTAGATTCACTTAACAATCATGCTACTAATTTAACTGTAGGAATTCACTTAACAATTGTGGCAAGAAAGATCATAAAATGAGGCAAAAATCACTTAACAAAGTCTCATTGAGCAATAGAAATTTGGGGTTCAATTTTGGTCATAAGTCGACAATTGCCTGGAGTCTCAGAAACTCTTGTGCAAATTGAGATCAGAGTATATTTCATGGTTATATAAATTACATGCATACATATAGTATATACAAATATCAAAATCTGCTTTCTTTTGATTGATCATTAGTTATCTAAATTTCTCTCACATTCTTTTTTCCTATGCAATTTATCTGCAACTCTTGATATAAATCAGGTTTGAACTTATTTATACACGTCGTGAATTAATATTGAACTTCTTTGGAGATATTTGACAAGATTGGATCATTGCTTTTCATTTTCTGTATCCAGCTAGGCCTTTTATTCTACAATAGAATAAAGGTAAGCCTTTCTCTTCATGGTACCCTCTTTAAAACAATTATGAATCAGAAGAAAGACAAAGCAAGGCTGGGTTTTGGACCTTTTTCCTTTTTTAATTACTTTGTTAATGATCTGGTATATGAACTAAGGAAACTGTGTTTTTTCCTCCCTCTATATGAGAAAGGAAGGTTTCACTTTAGTCTTATGAAGATATTATTTTGTTTACTTAAGCTCAGAGAGTTGGTTATAGAATAACAGATAATTATGATGAATCTAAATTTAAAGATGAAATGCCATACAGCAGGGGTGTCAAACTCACCACGTCACGTGATGTGTTGCGACATATCGCAACTTTTGCCCCATTGCCAGAGCTGGAGTGGGCGCGGTTTCAGCATGATGCATCTGGCCCGTAGGCCGGCAGTTTGATACCCCTGCCATACAGTACTAGCCAAAATAAAATTGAACAAAATTCCTTGTATCACTTGGAATTTTCAGTGGTTTAGGTTGACTGAATTCTAATGTAAAAGCACTAAACCTAAAGACTTTGGATTTTTGATCACAGAGCCAGAAGTGGTGTCCTCTGCAACACAGCCCCCAACTTACATACAGCCTGGCTTCCTCCATTCTCAAGGCACTCCTGTATTTCTTAACTGGGACACCTTCCACTTAATGATCTGCAGATTTGGAGTTAACAATTGGGGGTGTTACATTTTTAAATATCTTTTTGGTATTTCATTATTTTATGTAACTAACTTTTGAGTCTAATATATGGCATTGTTAAAATAGATTTATCCTCCTTCATCTCTGTAAGCTAATCTCCAGACGTTTCTCATCTACTTGCCACCTGGGTCTCCTCTTTTCTATTTTATATCTCCTTCTATTTCCCTCCCCCCTCTATCAGAGAAATGAAATCATCCAAATTGTGTAACCATTCCCCCCTTGTCATGCACTAGGATTTTATCTATAATCACAAGCAAGTTAATGTGACTATTTTTTCTAATCTGAACTCTTAAATACAAACCATTTACACTTGAAGACTGGGTCCATTTTATATCACTCTCACAATAATCAATTTCTTCTCTTAATGGCTATAAACACTGTGTCAACTGTGTGGCCAAGTGCAGCAAATTTGCCAAACTTGACAATTATTTCTATGGATGGAAACTAATCAAGGAGAGAAGCAACCTAGAACTAAGGAGATTGACCAGTGGAACTGCTTGCCTTCAGAAGTTGTGGGTGCTCCAACACTGGAGGCTTTCAAGAAGAGTCTGGACCACCACTTGTCTGAAATGGTATATAGGATCTCCTGCTTTAGGAGGGGATTGGACTAGATGACCTCTAAGGCCCCTTCCAACTCTGTCATTCTATGTTCTATGAGATTTTACCAGGAGTGGTAGGTCAAAAAGGGAAAGTAGCTAATGCAAAGGTTGAGAGATTTTAGTGCTTCAATAACTTGTTGAATCACAATCAACAAGGCATACCATGGGCCCGATTTCAGATTTATCATTCTAGTTTTCAAAACCTGTACGCTTTTTTTTAAAGGATCCTTTTATATCATTTTTTTTAAAATAAAAAAAGCCTATCTGTATAGGGCGTTTAAGACCATACTAAAAAGCTAAAATAAATGCCTGAGTTTGCACACCACTTAAGCCTGAGCTACAATTTAAAGTTCACAATTACTCTCCTGAATGTGCTTGATGAGTCATCAACAGTCCGAGCTGAGTTTACCCAGAGCCCTCGGCTAACATATGGGCCCAACCTAATTGCAATTCCGGCGGTCCTGCAAGCACGGCCACAGGATACAATTCAGTCTTCTTCTCAATTAATCCAATGGCATTCTATTACTACATTAAACGCCAGCTTTGCATATGTGGGCGGTTGGGTCCTCCTCACCCTCTCCCAATCCCTAAGCACACTTCGGCCTCGCGCGCTCTCCGAGAAGCTAAGCACACTTCGGCCTCGCGCGCTCTCCGAGCCCAACCGAAGGGACGCCGCCCGATCCTCTTTTTTCTCCTCCTCCTCCTCTTCCTCTTCCGAGGGGTTTCCAAGCTGTCTTCGGAAGACGACGCAGAGAGACGGCCCAAAGACCGCCTCTCCCAGCCCCCGGCTGCTATTGGCCGTCTCAGTCCCGGAAGGAATTTTTTTTTTTTGGGCCATTTCCTCGGGAGCCGCCATCTTGTCGGTGGTTGGCGGAGTTGGTCTGCGTTCAAGCTGGAAGGCTTCAGCCCGCCTTACTCGCGCGGCCTAGTCGCCCGCTCCTTTGGCGCCAGCGATTTGTTTTTCGCTATGGCCAATAACTGCCCCCTCGTGGGCCCCGGCAACTGCCATCCGCTGCCGCCGCACCAGTCGCCGCAGCAGCAGCAGCACCAGGGGATCCTGCAGCAGCAGCAGGCCGGCGCCGTTTTGTCGCCCCCGTTAGCGCTCCAGAGCGCCGGGCCCAAGCCAGCCGCCTCGGGCAAGCAAGGCAACGCTTTGCCTCTGTGGGGGAATGAAAAGACCATGAACCTAAACCCCATGATCCTCACCAACATCCTCTCGTCCCCTTACTTCAAGGTGCAACTTTACGAGCTGAAGACCTACCACGAGGTGGTCGACGAGATCTTTTTCAAGGTAAGCAGGCGACGGGGAAGGCAATAGGCCAACTGGAAAGCAGGACCATACTAGAGATCCTCGAAACAAGCCTCTCGGCCAGGCCAGGCCAGGCCTTCTAGTTGGGTAGGCCTCCCTTCCCACTTCCTTCTGAAAGAAAGAGGCTGAAAAAAGACGTGTGTTCTTCCCCTCCTTCCCACCTACCTCCCCTGTCTCTTGTTCAGCGAAGGAGGCCCTACACCGGTGTGTTTGTGCCAGAGGACCAGCTAAACCTACAAGACGTAGCTGTAAACCTCTCGACCTAATTCCAAATCCCAATTGTGTTTGTATTCTTTGGGAGGGAGTGGATGGGTCGGAACAAATGATCCTAGAATTCTGTATTGAAAACTACCTCTTTGGAAATGTTCTCGGTAGGGAAAATGAATGGAACGGAACAAATGGTTAATACCATTTTCATTCCATGCTGCTTCTGCACGTCTAAAAGTGAGAGTGAATTTTACTTTTATTTTTCCTTCCAGAAACTCAGGATAGTATATATTAGAATCCAATTTTATAACGGCTGTGAGTAGTAGTTACCCTGAGGTATGATGAGTTTAATGGAGGAATGAGTTCCTCTAAAATTCTACTTTACCAGATGTCCCAGTATATCATTGTGATTAACCATTATTGTTTCATTTTTGTAACTGCTTCTCTGGGAAAAAAAGCACTAATGAACTTTGTGAGACTTGGTTTTATTTACATATGGATAAGATTACACTAGTAATTCTAGCATACCAGTAGGTACTACCATTCTATGTTATGGCTAGCTGGACACTGCATCTTGCCTGACTTTACTGGCCTTGAAAAACAAAACACAGACATTAAAATTTAGATAAATAGTTACTAGGAAACATAAACAAAACTAAACCAGAAATTCAAATAGAAAACAATAGTCCCAGAAGAAATACCAAGCCACTTATCTTTTGCAAGAAAACCTGTCCACAAAGTCATGAATGAATTTGAACTAACCTTATTTTTTTTAACAATGGCTTCAGTAGATTTCAAACATTTACTTACACTCCTAATTAAAACTTCTATATCCTATATTGTGTGTAATACAGAAAAACTTGGTTTGCTCATATTCTTTCAGTGGTGTTCAGTTATTTATTCATATACAATGCTAAATTAACTTTTCACTCTTGAGAGGGCATTCAAATATTGACTTGCTAGTTTTTTTCTGTAATTTAATCTGAAAAATTCTGATCAGTATTCTGAACTGTGAGTTAGATAAGTCTTTTCAATTTCAATTGAAACTTCAGAACATGAAGAGTCAGAATTACTGTATTAGCATTACACAGGAGGATGCTTCTTAGCATTTTCTATTAAATTTCAATTCTTTTAACTGAATATCCTGAATGTGTGTCAGTACGCTCCATTTATCTTTTTAAGTTGCAGCAACATCATATGGGATTGCAAAATAATCTCTAGATCAGAAATCCTAACTTCTATAGAATGATCTAAACATACTCAGTGTCTGGATTTGTGGGTGTTTTGAGGCACTATTAGCCAGAATCAGAATTATTTATCCTGTTCTATCCAGAAAAGCGCTGGATGTGATAACTAAAGTTGGTAACTTAGAAGACACCTCCTTTATCTTATTGACAAGCATTATGTGAAAGCCTTGATGGATCAAGGTCCTTGTGGATGGCAGAGGTCAGTAACATAGGCCCATTTGGTGACAATCATATGTTGATGATTGCAATTTGTGATGTTAAAGAGTGTGAATGAATGAAATGAAAGAAAATAGTGTTTGTGAGAAAGGGAATGTTTATTAAGGTGGTCTTGTGGAGTGGAGTTGATGGATAAATACATGCATGGAACTGAAGATGTAGTTTAATTATGAAATTAAAGGGTACGAGCTATTTAAGAAAGGATGAATTAGTATCATTCAGATTGTATGGGGATATGTAAAAATATACGTTATGTTCCATTGGCAGTGAAAATGGAAGCACCAGAAATGAATTAAGGGATTAAAGGGTCATAAGGGAATTTTTATGTAAAATAATGCATATACACATGGTCCTTGACTATGACCATAACTGAGCCTGCCAGTTATGGACATGAGTCTTGATAATTAAAACAGGTCACTACATAACTGACCTGATTTCATTACCTTTTTTTGCAGTACAGTGAACCCACTGTTCGCTATGGGCAGTTTTTGCCAAAAACCAGAAGTAAATGCCAATTTCCAGCAAAAATGTAAATCATGGTTTGTTAAAGAATACCAATAAATCTAAAAACATGAATTGTTTTATTGTTTATGATAAAAAGTTTGAGGGAAGGAAATGTGATGAAAGATTCTGATTGTGGGATATGCCATTTTTAGATGGTGTCAGGAGTTGGATTTTGAGGAAAAATGGACATAAAATGAAAGAACAACTGGGGGAAGAAAAAGTACAAGTCCTTTATGACAAACTATTAGAAAATAAATTAAGTCATCCCAGAGGATAAATGAAAAATTGGTGTAAGAAAACAGAATGTGGAAGCAACTTTGAATACAATTAAAATAATTGTATTGCAAGGTGTCACAGAAGTATATAGAGTTATTTTAATAAGAAATATAAAAAAAGGAGACTTGACAGAAAAATGAAGTGAAAGATGCTGTGGACACAGAAAAAATTCATACAAGAATGCTGCAAAAGTGGAGTACTGAAAGGAAAATTTATAGATTTGTATTGCAGTGACAATAGTATATTAAAAATAGAATTGAAACAAATACAATAAATATTAATGTCCAACACAATGAAAAGGAGACTGAAATATTGAAAAATGGTAAGGCTATAGACTTAGATGACATAGTTGGAGAAATGTTAAAACATTTTACTGATCATTTGTTTGTATGATTTCCTTAATGTGTGCTGAATACTGTCTCTGTCCTTGACAATTGGAAGAATTTGTTTATTAAATTTATAGGCTACCCATCTTACCATTAGAAGCTCTGGGTGGAAGAATTTACCATACTGTACAATGGGAAGTATAATAAAAGTAAATGCAGAAACTACAGGGAGATTTTGTTATACATCCCTGAGAAGATGCCTGGCAGAATTCTAATTGAAAGATTCTTAAGGTGACAATAAGAAAAAATTCAGAAATATTGGATGCTGCTTTTCAACAGATCATTCTTGATTTAGAATGAATTATTCAAAAGGAATGGTTACATGTTGTTTACATACTTAAGTGTGCTCCAAATTTAGATATTTTAATAATAAAAGCTGTGTGTGTGAGAGAGGGAGAGGGAGAGAAGCTTATTTTATCACCTATTACATTCTGCGCTCATGGAAAAATTAAGAATAGGTTGTTGGGACTGTATGCTATTTTTTTCTTTCATTTTCTTCTCATTCTTTGAACTATACAAATATCTCTTTGCTTCGGTCTGCTTCTGTAAATCCTATTGTCCTTTTTTCTTTGCACTTTTAGAAACTGGCATAATAATTTCTGTATTTTATTTATTTATTTAAACCCACTTTCATTTTTATGAATAACTCAAGGCAGTGAACGAACCTAATGCTACTTCCTCCTCATGTTTTCTCCACAAGAGTAATCCTGTGAAACGGGGTTGGGCTGAGAGAGAGTGACTGGCTCAGTGTCACTCAGCCAGCTTTCATGCCTAAGGCAGGACTAGAAGTCCAGGTTGCCTGGTTTTTAGCCACTAACCCAAGCTGGCTCTTATGTATTCTGTTATACACTGTCTGCAGAATAGGAGTAAATAGGACTTATCATTAATTTCTATACACTACTGTTAACAAGCACTTTAAAAAAAATACTAGCTTGAAGTTGTGATTGCTATTGATATCTTTATTTGGTTTGTTTTTATTTTAAACAATGCCCAAGCCGTTTTATAACACTTTAAGAGTCTTCCAACTCTAATCAGTGTTTTGCAATTACATTCACTTTATTTATGAAAGTCTGATATGTGTATTTATGTGTCTGATATTTGCTAAAACAAGGGATGCCGTAAGAATTGATGATCACTATTGCAGCATGTGGTAGTGAGTTGCATAAAACAATGTTACGATTTCAGTGGTGTTCTTTTTCATCACTTTTTCATGGAAATTATAGTAATTAGGGCACATCCAAATTTCTTATAGTTTGGAATGCATGGAAACAATATGCTTAATCAGAAGAGAAAATTATAACAACATTGTGTTAGAAGAAAATCAGATATATAAATATAAAGTTAAGGTGGATTTAATTAATTTGTTACTTGTTTACAGGTTACCCATGTTGAGCCTTGGGAGAAGGGAAGCAGAAAAACTGCAGGTCAAACAGGGATGTGCGGAGGGGTAAGTAGAAGTACGTGATTACTGCATTTTGGAGCTTTTTAAAAAAAAAAAGTTAATCTTTTCAAAATGAACATATAAAAAAACTTTAGTTTGCAAGCTTTTATCCAGTTCATTAGTACAAGTAGT